ACGTTATTCCATGAAGGAATCTAGTAAAAAACTGAAATGCTGTTTTCTAAAGGATTTTTAGAGAGCCCTTAGTGTGAAAGCAGAAGCTGAAGCTGCTTCTACCACTAGTTCAGAAACACACAAGTTAGGAAAGAACAGTTAATTCTGTCCCTGGCTTCTTTCTTTCCAATTATTCTTCCCATCCAGGCCCAGTGCTAAACTGAATGCAGGAATTCAAAGGATGTTGCTGAGGGCCAATGACTTCCCCTTGCACTTGGAAACTGAGAATCATCCTTTGCTGCTCCAAGTCATGGTTAGTCTGACAAAACTAGAAATGCTTTTTCTGGTCCCAGGAGTTCTCCACTTTTCTTCTCCACACAAAGCATCAAGAGCTTTTAACTTCTAATTACTACAACTGACAGTGTTTCAGCTTCATAAAAATCTGATCAAGACCTTTGCACTGTGGGCATGAGAGCATTTTAGACAGGGTTGGAGGAGGCAGATATTAAAATCTTACCTTGCCAACTTCCAACAAAACAACAGATGACATTAACCTCACACTAACTACTCCTTATGAAAGTTCTCCATTCCTTTAGTCTCTTTGGTCAGTAGGAAGTAGAAATGGTTTGTCCTCAGATCCACTGGTGGCTCAAGAAACACTCCAGCTTTCCCTCTCAGCATTCCAAGCACAGGAATCAACCACAAAGGGTTTTTTCATTTTCCTCTGATTAACACACACATACATAAGTTTACATATGGCAAGCGCTGCACATTTTGGTGTTGCTTAAGAAACATCTGCGTTAGAAGCTGGAGCAATGGAAGTAGCCTTCCTGGTTCTGTGAAAGACTTAACCACAGCAGAGACCACGAGGCGAGGACATTTCTGAAGGGAAGGCATTTGTCACAGCAAGGGGAAGCTGCAAAGCAACTTGAGCTGCCTGCTCTGACAACTCCAGAGGCTGTGTGTGGAGCCCAACGCAAATAACTGCTCTAACTTCCTAACAGCACCACGATGAGTAATTGCATTCATTGCATAAGCATAGAATGAGGTTCTCTCTCCATTGCTAGTAGCAATGAAGGAGTAGATATTCTGGCCAACAACAAAAAAAAAGATCTAATTCTGTGTTTTGCCCAAGGGAGTTGCCAATACCAATTTCCTTAAAGCAGGATGTAAAAAAAGCCCTACAGGTAAGTGCTTTCCTCACAGAGAAAGAGCTAACCTGGTTATCGAGTTTTCTTTGTGCCATGCCCCATCACTTTGAGCCAAAAAGGCCTACAACACCCACTGCACTCTAAGTGATCCTCCTGGCTCCAATGCGCCTCTGTGATGTGGAAAAGCACCACCAACAGACTTATGCCAGCTCCCACTTCACAACTGTGGCTAATGTCTGAGCTGGTAGTTTTACAACTGAGGAAAATTAATCCTTCAGCAAGGACTATCAGCAGGTGACCAGAAAAGGGGAACAGCAGTGAGGCATGACTGACCATAGGTGGAAAAAACAGTACTTTAGAAATCCTCTAATGTGGGTTTTAGATAACAGCCTCTCAAACACAGGTAAGATACACTGGGACTGAATATGGCTCAGCAAGATGCTCTCCTGCCCACAAGGGAATTTCTCTAGGAACTCTACTGACTCCTTATAATGGTGCTTTAAATACACAGCACTGCAAGAGCCTAGTGAAAAGGACTCTGGGCAGACTGCTCAGCAGTGCTAGCAGCACAGAGCCCTCATGGACTGTCCTTCTGACACAACTGGTGGCTCCCAAGAGCCAGCAAGGGTGGCAGTACCTGCCCTGGAATCCACTTAAGCCAAGTCTGCAGCAGCCCCGAAGAATGTGTGTAGCACAATCTTTGTCACTCGGTTATACACAGGTGAAGAACAATTGCATTTTCCCTGTTTCCACAGAAAAACAGCACTGAAGGTAACACTTAGGCTCAGCTTTTCTCTTCCTTCTGTTTTCCAGTCTGGTTTCTTCAGAGACAGCAGTCAGATCTAACATACTTAAGAGGAGGGCTAGCCTCTTCCAAATCCTATCCAACCTGAAATACTGGCTTTCTTGGCCAGAGGCCCAGGTGAGGCTGCAACTGTGACACTACATGCAGTACCTTTGCTTAACCTTTTCCCTCCCACATTGCCAGAATGCATTTCAGATATATTAGCATCTTAGCAACAAAGATGATTTCAAACACAGCTTTTTATTTCTCTTTCCAATTGAGCTCTGCAGCACTGCAATCTGCACATACCCTTAAAAACTCAGGTGCTAGGCTGCATCTTTAAAGCATTTGGTCTCCCCAGCATATCCAGGGCCAGAGGCTGCTGCACCAAGTGCCTTCAACCAGGGTCTGGTGGGGGCTCAGCAGCACCCCCACTTTGGCTAACTCTGTTCCACCCCTCCTGCCTCGACCTCAAGGAACAGCCAAGGGGGTAACGTCCTTTTCCCTCTTACTATTTGGTCCAAGTTAAGAGTCTGCAGACTCACACACACCCACAGACTCCAGGTTCTTTGCACAGACTTACTTTTAGACACTTCAGTTCTAAAGTGAACTTCATGGGAGCTGTTTATAAACATTTCTTTAGCCATGCCACAGCTAGCTGACAAAAAAAAAAAAAAGAAGAGTTAATTTAAGTGTTCAAGCAAATTCCTGGGACATCTCATCATCAGCTGCGTCTGGCAGTTGTGAAACTCACTGTCTTTATACACAGAAGCTGTTCAGGAGTTTCTGACCTTAGCTCCTCATTGGGAAAGATGATTTCTTATGAAATTGTAAGAGGGCTTTACTCACCATAGAAAAAAACCTTACATTAATATATTTAATTCCTTACTCTAGCTTCTGCAAAGAAAGAACCCATGTCACGTCTTCTGCTTCAGTTCCTCAGTGCAAGATGAAGGATGCCCAGGACTTTTCCACCCTGCAGGTAACTGCACTCCAAAGCTGCACCGGAGTCTCTCCTTCCTCTCCTCTCCAGCATTCCTCAGGGTGTCACATACACAGACACTGTGAACAGCAACTACCCTGTTTTCAGCTCCTGCCCTGCAGATTACTGGACAGGGCAGTACAGATGAAGCCACAACTTCTACAGTGGGCCAATGCTACCACAACTCCGAAGGCACGTGCTAACTTCTACAGAACTTGAGGCAGATGAGAGAGGTAGCCCAGCTGTACAAGCCACCCCTGAAGGAATTCCAGGTGAATTCACAGTAACAGATGGAAAATGCTGACAAACTGCTTCCCCACCCCCACCCAAGCGAAAAAGGATTTCAACTTTACAACAACAACAAAACCATTACAGACTGGGATATCCCAACTACCTTAAATGTGACTTCAGCAGGCAAGCCTTACTTGAGGTGACTCAGGGTTACTCAGCTATCAGGACAAATTATCAAGCCAATCCTTTCACTTTGACACCAAGAAATAATGACTCTCGTGACATTTCTTCCTGTTCACTTGCTTGCCAAAGAACATCGTTGATAACTTCTTTACAAAATAAACACCAGCTACTAGAACCTGATGTACAAGTAACTGCTCTAGCTTCTACCAGGTACAGATAGCAATGGTACATTGAAGTAATTTCCTAGAAACTGTAAATCCAATTGATTAAATACATTTAACTAAACTTTTTATGGCACAGAATATTCTTAGGCATCTCCATTTTAAAATAAGCAAAATGGCCTCTGAAAATGCCATGTTGCAAAAGTATCCTGGAGAATCGCAGGTATCCTGGAGCTTTGAGGTGAGATACAAGGCCTTGCTACCCAGTCTTGCCCAGCCATCTGGTGCTGAAGTGAATTACAGACCAGTCAGTCTTACAGATACTGATGGAGACTGTGGCAATTCATGCTACCTCAAAGAGGAAAGAGAAAGCTTAAAATAATATCTCTTATCTAAGATGAGCCTAATCTATCCTACAATCAATGGCAATTTCAAAGCATGAAGGGCTCAAGGCAGAGTGTCAGGTATCACACAGCAATTCCTCAGCAAGGAGAAAGGTAGGGATCTCTTTCTCTGGGATATTTGCTAATATCCTTCTCCTCAAGCGCCCTGTGGTGGAGTTGCCTACTGAAGAACCATTTTATCACAACCTGGCAATGTGTTCTAATGCTCTACTGTAAATTTGTTTTACATGATGCACACCACCTCACTCAATGTGGCACCTTTGCTGGTGACTGTACTGGGACACAGCACACAGGCTGCTTAAAGTCACCCTTTCCTCATACTGTGTGTTTGTTTTAAAATAAACTATAATCAACTCATGCTATAGACTGATTTAAACACCTCCAAGCCTTAAAATGCAATGCATATCCTCCAACAATCCTGGACAAACACCCTGAAAGTAAACTAAAGAGCCTGAAAGCAGCTGCCATGCCAACTGACTGAATCTGCCAGCTTAGCATTCAAATAGCGGTGGTACCATAACAGTGTGCTGACCCATTTAGTCCAAACTAACTATCTGGCTGCTCCCACTACACTTTGATCCCTCAGCTATCTCTTTTCACACTGAAAATGCTTGAAGGAGCTGAATAAAAAGGTAAATAAACTAATCTTCCTTCCCTCCAACCCGTAACACAGTAATCACAAACAAGCAATAGCTGGTGCCATTTCTTAGAGGAATTCCTGTGGAGGAACTCACACTCAGCAGGTTCAAAATGAGACCAGGTAAAACACACGGAAAAACTGATCTGCAACCAGAAAATAGAGGAGCAGGCAGGGGTGAACCTGGCTACAACAGCTGTGGCTTCTGAGGGAGTGCAGGAGGTCTGGACTGCAAGTGTCTAGGCTTGCAAGCTTCCCCCAAAGTAGACTGTCCTATTGATCCCACAGGAGTCTGACCACCTAAACAGACTTTGGTCTGATCCATTAGGTGAATTCTCATGTTATTCTTACTCCCACACGCAAATCTGTCAGCTTTAAGGGGATCCACATCCCAAACAGAAGCTTCAAATAAAGAACTTCTGTTTGTGCACTGTCTCGATATTCACACACACAAGATCCCAAATGGATGTTACTTTCATTACACATACTTCTCAATTACCTTTTTCCATTCAAATATGGGCTGTCTTTTGAGAGCCAGCCAGCTGACTTCAGAAGGCAAGGCTGCTGAACTGCTGCTGTCAGCTGCTGCCCTGGAAGACAGACAAGGAAAACAGTTCTTAAGGTGTTTACCACCAGTGTGCCAGAGGTTATCACCAGTGTTTGCTGTGTGTGGAAGACAAGCAAATAAGCAAACGCGTTCATATAGTGAGCAGCTTGGGAAAGGGCAAAATACCATTATTTGCAGAGTGCTGTACAGCCACTCCTCTGCACATGTGCATTTCTGTATGGAAAGCTTATTTCCAAAGTTATAAAAAGTCATTAACCCATCACCAGAAAACCTGTCCTCTGTGTAAGCCCAAAGCTCTCCATCAATATACAGACAGTATCTTCCCCTGCAAGTGTGAGGAGATACTAAAGTAGCTTGGACATAAGGCCTGTATTAATAGAAAACATTTCTCAGCAGAAGCTTCATGAAACCTTTACTTTGAAACTACTGCTTCCAGTGAGACCAGAAAACTTGTGAGATCACACCAGAATTAGAAAGCATCTTCGTGCCAAGTCTGAGATGGAACCATGCACCTTTCCTTCTTCAAAATACTATTTTGATAGCAGACTTGGTTCAACTTATTTACAGATTTGCAGGTAATTTTTTAACTTGTCAAAACATATGCCAGGCATGTGTGCAGCAGGCAGATAACTTATAATTTAAGTAATTTCTAAAAACAATATGCAGAAACAAACATTTAATACAGATGATTATCACTTATACTTTGATTTTGGCTTCATACTACTATCTTTGCATCACTGTATTTAATTACACTGCACATTTCCTTCATGATTCATCATTGCATAACAAACTAGATAGCCACTTTATGGGTGTGTTGCAGGTTTACACAATTAACAGAGTCTATTGGACTGGAAATGACGATTTGTATTAACTGAAAAGATCATGTGGCTGCATAGTTTGTGGGTGTTGGTTTATTAGAATGGAAAGTGCCAATTAGAGAAGGAGAAAACAAAGACAAACTCATTATGTTTTAAAGAGAAGCGCCTATGACTTCCTGGAAATGTTAAAGTTTATCTGGGATAGGATTCCCAGCTGCTGAATTACAAAGAAAATTATTCTTCCTATGTTCATGAGAACATAGGAACAAGAAAGGAGAAAGCCCAGGCACCACAGGGAGAACAAAACAGAGAGGAGCTGCCATACCAAGGCCACCTCCACTGTCACCTCCACCTCCCAGCCCCTTCCCATCAAAGTCTGGTCTCAAGATGACGGTGACTTCTGGACTTGTGGATGCTGGTTTTGCCCATGCCACAGGCCATGCAGGTGCAGCCTCAACACCCAGCCCTAGCCCCACTGCTCTTCCTGCAAAGGCACTTCAAGCCATGCAATGAGAATACTTATTTCCTCCTCATATTTTAAGCTCAACAGCAAATTCAGTTTGATCATACTTTACTCTTCACTTTTACTTTCAACAGCTCCATCTCATTACCACAAGTCTACACTAAAAATGTAAAACTCAAATGCCTCCAAACTGACTAAAGGTTACATATTTGACAGTGGTTTTGATTAACAGTTAGGTGATGCTTATGACAGGACAAACCATATAACTTAAGTAGTTCAAATCGAAGATGTGCTAAAATCAAGCTATTTAGCTGCTCCAAAAACCTCCACCATCATTTATATTAATCTCTCAAATCAACTGTGTAACACTTCACGTGAATTTTCGGCACTGTAAATCCAACAAATTGATTAAATTCATTTCCCCTCATGAATTTCTTAAGTTTGACCACAGAAGGGAATTCAATTGATCATTTGAAACAGTGCTCGATATATTTCAGTGTAGTTTATTAAAGGAGGACAATACAGTTTTTTAGGGGGGTTGGGGTTTTTTTTTTTCTTGGGGTGGAAACACAGAATCACATTATTCTCTTAATCTGTATTTCCATAAATCTATCCAAGTTTATGTGATATGTGAAGACGGTGAACAGCAGAGCAAGACCCTCAAAAGCTCCTGTTTCTCACTCCTAAGAGCAGATATAACCTTAATTAGAGACAGGGCACCAGAGACACCAAAATTTAAAAGTACTTCTAAATAAATACTTCAAATATCAGCTGTTTAATTCCATGTGTAGACACAAGGAAGAGCTGAAATGCAGAGATGTTGACTAATCTTTTTTTCCAGCAAAATCATTAGGTCCTAGAGTGCTTAGCTTCTCGGAAAATCAGTGTTTCATTAGTAGACACAAAGATGCACTCAGGTAAGTAAGCATTAGGTCTGCATTAAAGATGTGTTTTTAATGTCTTTTTATGAATGATATGCCAGATTTGGACATGACAAAAAAAAAAAACAGAGGCAAGGTCAGCAGCACAGTCTCTTTGCTGGGGATGTCTGTAGCGAGGCATTAGTAGTGCAAATACAAGTACACATCTCAAAATATAGATGCTCAGCAGACTGTTGTGTCCCCTTCCACATGCCCTATACAGGAAGAATCTCAAGTATGAATAAAATTAATTTTACACTGTTTGGGAATCAAGTTACCAAACTATTAATTTCTGCAATGACACACAACTGTTTCCAAATACCATCTCTATATATAAAACCTTTCAACTGAAATTACTGGTTCAGAATGAGAACCCACTGAGCTTTACCCTCGCTGTCCTTCCTTCTCAATCTGTTCTTAACTCCCCAGCTCATTGAAGCCACACACTATTTCACTTGCCAATCTTTTAAAGTGTGTGAAATCTCCTTCCAAAGGTTTCAGAGGCCTTCCAAAGGTTTCAGAGGTCTCCCAAAGACCCAACTGATACATAAGGCATCCCAAGCTTCCCTGGGTTATGTTTTAAGTGGCATGCTGTATTTCTAGGCTGTCAGTTTTGCTTACGATTTATTTTGTAGAGATCATAAGCTGCACCTATGATGATACTCTATAAAAAAACAATTTTATCAAAAGAACTATGGCATTACCTTTAGTAAGTAGAAAGGATGGAAGAAGCCACAGTAAAAGGAAGAAAGCAAAAAGCTGACTGCTATAGTTCTTTCTAAATTAAGTGAATTTAGTTATTTTTCAAGAGTTCATGTTTGGTCCTGACAAACAAGGGTCTGGCCACAGCAACTGATGAGTCTCAGACTGAGCAATGCAACGTGGCTGAGATTAGCTCAGTGGCTGCAGTGCCCCACACCACCCAGGACTGGCTCCTTCCACAAACAAACTGCCTGATCTCATTCATGTCCCTTACCTGTGTGTCTTTGATAGAGTAATATATAACCTTTACCTCCTGCAAGGACCAGTTCAGAGGCCCCTGCATCAGATAAGCTTCTTGCAGTGAGCAAACCCTTTGAGATTTCAGGAAGCAAAGAGACATAAAACCTTCCCTGGCAGAGATAAGAAACACTACATACACAGAAGGTGTTTTGCAGCTTTCAGATACAAGTACACTTTGGCTGTTTATCAAAGCCAGCATACAAGGTCGGGTATAACAACTCAAGCTGAGCACTATGCCACTACTCACATAGCTTCTAGTTGTTTTGAAGAACAGCTACCACAGATACCTGCAAAATACTGTGTGAGTATATCCTACCATTCTCTGGCCATTTAGCTTTGCCACAAAGACAATGACTGTGTAGTGAGATGACCATGGCAGAAAAAGCACACTGAGAAAGAAAGAGCATAAAAGACAAAGGTAAAAGAATATGATACACTCTGGGGAAGGGTCAGAAGGAACTTAAGCAGTGCTGCAAGACCCTACCACTGCATGTCCGGAGATTCCAGGAGCTTCCCCCAAACTGTCATTATGTATAACACTGCACTTGTTTGAAACACTGTGCCTAAAGGGCATAAAAACAGGGGAGCCAGTCAGCTGACAGCAAGCCCTCTGGCTCTGTAAGGAAGGAGATGGGATGCAACAGGGCAGTTAGACTGGGCTTTGAGTCAGCTCCTCTGTTTCTCCTGATCAGCCCAGTATCCTGCAGTGGAACAGCTCTCAACACTGCTCTAAAAACATCCAATAACGGATTAAGTGAACTCTGGGTTATTTCACCAGACCGAAGCTCAGCTTCCTGATGACCAGGTTACATGCCTAAGAGCAAGAATGAACTCAGCCTGGGAGGACTGCATAACAGTGTCCCTACAGCAGCAGCATGGATGCAACACTTCTGCGAGGCATTCAGCTATTACAGAACGGATGGCAGAAAACAGATGTAGCTGTAGCCATTTCTGGGGAACACAAGTGTGAACAACCAGCTATATTTAATTTATCAAGTTCCATTCCAGTCTAAGCTCCTACAGAATCTGTGTCAATCTTTGTGTCCTTTTTTGATCTCTTCCCTCACTCAACTTATGCTTATGTACTGAAAAAGTCTCAGCACATGATTACCCCATCCAGGCAACATGCCTTTGAAATGGCTTTTTAATCTAGACTCTCCACTCCCTGACAGACTGACTTTTGCAGTATGTCTGTATTTGCTGTCTAGACACTTGAATATGCTAACCTCTAATTTAGCCCTCCTTTACTGACCCATGAGTTTCCTCCCTTTTGTGGGTCTTCTGGCTAAACTGGAAATGCAACACACTCATTCTGCCCTATACCTGCCTGGTGTAACTGCATTCATACAGATCTGACCAGTGAAGCAAGCACATATTCCTCATTCACAGCAATGATGAATCCTTACACTGAAAAAGTTTTGTAGCACTCTCCTAATCCTGTTCCTTTCTTTGCTGTCTCCAAATTCAAAGAACAGTGGAGTCCCTTCCTGGAAGGATTCAGGACAGAAGACCAGAGCTGTATCTTGTAAGTAGAATTAAATCATTGTGTACCAAATTACACAGGCAAGAAACGATGGAAGAGTCTGACTGAAATACGAAAGGAAAAGCAAAATTTATGTCTAACCTAACAGCAGTTGTACTGCCTCAAATCCCAAGGTCCAATTAAATCCAGTACTGCTATAGCATGGGGGAAAAAGGAAATGAGATGTTTAGGGCACTGGGCAATGTCCTCCCAGTTCCCAGCAGTCTGATACAAGGCACTTTCTCTACAGCCTGAATGGATTTTTCTTTCACCAGGTTCTCTGCATGGGGTTTTTGAAGCCATGTAGAAGTTCTGGACATTTGCAGCATTCAGACAGACATGTAATCAAGGTACACAGATGAGAGTTCCCAAAAGCCATGCTGTACTTCCGTTTAGATAGTATGTTTGCATCACAAACCACTTCCATATGCCTGAAGCATAAAAGATTTGCTATCTGTGTCAGTTTCTATGATGACTTAAGAGGCAATTTAGTGTTATCCAATTGCTTTTAAGTCTTGTATAGGGTGAATTTGCACAAAGCCTGAGTAATGGCCCTTGTACAAGGCTGAATTTCAGCATCCGATCTGCACAGTAGTATATTGTTACCCTTGCAATGAGAGTCTGCACTGTTAATCTATGGATACGTCTTACACTCGAACTCATTGTTTCTGCCCCTTCCTTGCATACCTACACATCCTTCCCTACCTCGCAGTAAGTACCACAGTACACTGTACAATATCCCTTGTATAACAAGAATAGAAGGAAAAAGTTTAACTCCTAATTTGGGCAATATGATTTCTCTATGTCTGAACACACGAGTTTGACACCACTGTACCACAGTCTCTGATTTGCTATCAGTTCAGTGAGACTACAGCAGTTCCTTTGTGTCCTGTATGTACTGTTTTCTCCCTTGAATTAACTTGCTTTCCCTCACTTCAGGGCAATGGATGTTCAAAACTCAGGCAACTAAGAATGTTATTACCTGTGTATGTTCTGCATACTGCCATAAAGCATGCAGTACCACAGCAGGAGTGCCACGAAGACTTCTTAACCTCAATATGCAGACGCAGAGCCATTCTGTCAGACTACCACAAAACAAAGGACCTGCACAAAACCTACAAAATGCAACAACTTCAACTATCACACACGGTTTAACTTGTGTGCATCTTGATTCTGCTTGAGGTAAAGGCTGTGATTTTTAAAAAAAGAGGGAATTTGGACATGTCAACTATTTCATTTTGGAAGTCAGTATCCAAGCCAAGGCCAGTGGGTGGAATTTTAAGTTATCAAATAATTACAGAATTCATGAATTCTCATGATGGAAATATTTATTCATAGACCATTCTTTGCATTGCTTTTTGCTAGGTTTGCTTTTCCCAAGCAATCCCTTACTAAAGGCTCCATAAAGGCTCCATCTGAACTAACTAATGTGACAGATGGTCCCTGCTCTGCAGAAGCACCTCTGGAGGTGCTGTAGAAGCGTTATCTACATCACCCCCATAAACATAACTAGTCATGCAAAAACTACCACCACAGCATCCAAGTTACACTTTTACCTCTCTTCAGAAAAGCTTTTCCTCTCTGATGACTTACCACAATTACCTTTTCTAGTCATTAACAAGGCAGAAGAATATCTAAGCTACTCACTCCCTCCCTTTCAGGTAACCAGACGAGAGGCACGCTTGCCAGAAAACATGGAAAAACCCTAAGCTTCCTGCTCAAGAGCAGCTGCTGTGAATAATCAGGATTAAGCAATAATACAGCAGCTACTGTAAAACAAAGTTAATATTTATAGAAGCTGGCTCACCAAAACAATCATGACACTCTAAAGAAGGACCGTACAAGAGCAGTATCTGACGTTCTGTATTTAAAATATATATCTTCCCATGTTATCTTTCAGTGTGAAATTTTGCTTTATTAAATTTCTAGCTTTCTGAAGAGATTTTGCCTTTCACTTCTGCACCCACTGCTGACATTTGTGCCTTGTCACTCTCAAGACACACGGAAATAGCAACTGAAAACTTTTAAGTGTTGAAAATGGGAAGTATCAAGGGAACTGAGATTATTGAGAGGCATACACTGCAAAACAAGCTAGTAATAGGACAGCTCTGATCAAAGGACAGCCATTATCACAAGAATTTCCTCTGCAAAGGAATATCATGAATGAAAGTCCATAACAGTATTTTCTCAAGAAATTCAGATGTTTCATTTATTAAATACAGACAAAACAGGGTATAAAAGAGGTTTAAATCATCTTGTAATACTACTTGAACTGTCGTGCTTTTTATTCCAGCAGACTTGTTATTAACCAACCTGGATGTCCAAGATTATTTAGGAGTTAGTCTCTAGGGCAATTAGCAAATTGCAAAGAGTGGTTTACACATGCCTGCAGAACTGTGAATTGGTTTAAGAGTCCTGAAATAACTTCATATTGCAAAGAAGGGAGAGAAATAAGAATGTAACTGTTGGTTCAGAATTCAACTGCCTCTGTGCACAAGTCAACACAGAAATATAACAAGTGACAGAATTACTAAACATTTTTATTCAGTAGAACAATCAGAAATTTAAGGCAGTGGGTTTTTGTGACCAAAAATCATTTAATAGTGAGAGACAAAAATTCAACGCGCATGAACTGACTCCTAAATTCTCTAATTGAGTAAAACCAGGCCTCCTGATGGAAGCACGGAGCCCATAGGGTAGCATCTGCAGGGGAAACCAGAATGGCCTTTGCCTGGACCACAGATTCTCAGACACAAACAAGTCAAACCCAAACATCTATTATTCCTCGTTACACCATGGAGGCACAGCAGAAGTCTGTCTTACTGAAGGCATGTCAACACTCTGAAGAAGTTTGTCCTTTGTATCCATCTGTAACACTCGGTATTTGCACCATCAGCGGGCACATCAATACACCAGAATTTAAACCAGGCAGAAAACTCCCAAAACCCAAACCACCACCAAAACCCCCAGCACCCTACTTTAACACATCTATGCAACCATGAAATAACTCCTGCTGCGTGTGCGGTTCATCCACAGAAACACCACCGCAGTTCTTAGGAGACAAATATGCAGTAGGAGAGCTTACAGGCCCTAAGAACCAGGGCAAATGGGGAACTTTCACCACAAGTCACCAGAAACCCCAAAAGAGAAAGCAGAAGTAACCTGCAAACATACACAACGTCCTGCAGTGAAAGCAAGCATTCTTGTTAGCAGTATTAATAACTATTGCAGCTCAAACTGCACATAGCAGACACATTTGGTTAATCCTATTGTTAGCAGCTCTCAGTGCTGGGGGTTTTAGAGCCCCAACTGACATTCCTTTGTCCAACAAAGAAACGATTGTATTGCGCAGCAAAACTGACCAGACCAGGTTCACGTTGTTTATGCTGTAAATAAACAGTATCCTCTGCAAATACTCACAATCCTTTACACAGTGGCTTTTACTGAGAACCTGCTGCTCTACCACTGTGTTCTACCACCACAAATGCCAAGTCCAGACACAAGATTCACTGTCAGATCTGTGATAACCCACATATGATTAGATTTATTTCAACGTGAAGCTCAGGAAAAAATAACACTCACAGCAGCGAACAGTGAAAAGCGTTGGTGACTGTTTCCTTCTGGAGACACCGAAGGACACAACACTATTTGTGAACGTTTGTGACTGTAAAACACCCTGACACCGACCGCGAGGCCGCTCTCACCACAGGAGCCCCCGCCGCCATTTCCCCACCACCTCAGGGCCCGTGGGGCGGGAGAGCGAGCGCCCCCTGGCGGGTGGCGTGGAGCGGCTCCCGAGCCAAGGGAAAGGAGGGCCGCGGGACGAGAACCGCCGCCGTGCCCCGGGAACCAGCCGGCCGGGGCAGGAAAGGACGCCGAAGAGCTGGGGAACCAGGCGGGTGCTCGGGGAACCCGGCCGCCGCGGGGAAAGCTCGGCGCCGGCAGGGATTCACCAGCGGTGCCCCACAGCCTCTGCCGGCCGGGGTGTGCTCCCCACTCCGCTGTGAAGGAACCGAGAGCTATCTCCCACGGTGCCGCGCAGCCTCTGCGCTGGCCCCGGTCCCCAGCGGCTCCTCAGTCGCGCCGTCAGGCCAACCCATGGGCGATAGCTCCCAGGCCTGCCCCGTGCCCCGGTCACCCCCGCCCAGAGCCCGCTCGGCGAACGCGCGCCGCCCGGAGGCGTCCGGCCCCGGAGGCTCGGGCGGAGGGCGCCGAGGCGGGGGCGGCACCGCGCCGGCAGCGCTGCCCGGAAGGCGCACCGACGGCCATTCCCACAGCCGCGCCCGGAGAAGTGGACAGCGCCACCGGAGCCCGCAGCAGCCCCCGCTCCCCGCCCGGCCAGGCCCGCACCCTCCCGGCAGCGCCCGCCTGGAACCCGCCACCGCACCTTTACCACCCACGCGCGGCCATCGCCCCTTTAAGGCAGCTCCCGACTGGAGCGCATCGCGCGGTGGGCGCGGCGGGCTCTGCAGCGGCTCCGCCCCCCGGTATAAGAGCCGCGGTCCGCGCGCGGTGCGGCAGTGACCGAGCGCTGTCGGGGCTCGGCGCATGCGTGTCGCGCCGGCGGCCGCGCAGGGACATGCGGAGCTGCGCGACACTGTCGGGGTAAGTGATGGCCCCCGCCGCGGCACCTCCCGCCGCTCCGCGCTCGCGCTGCCCGTTGCCATGGCGGTGGGGTGTCCCTTCCGCCGCGGCCTGCCGAGGACGCTCCCGCCCGCCGCACACCTGAGCCGCCCGGTATGGCTCGGCCGCGGCCCGGGGCCGCCCCGTACCTCCCGCGTCGGGCCCCCGCCGCCGAGGAAAAGAGCGGGTGCAGACCTGCGGGTCGCCCGGGCCGCAGCGCCAGGGTTGGCCGAGCCCCTGGCACGGAGCCGCGGTCCCAGCGCGGCCCACGCCAGCGGGCGCGGGGCGGGCGGGGGTATGGCGGCGGGCCGCGGCCCAGGAGGAGCGCTGGGGAGGAGTGGGAGCGCGGTTTCTGCCCTTGCGCTGTCGAGAGGGTGGGGAAGGGGCACCGGGGGCCCAGACCCGCCGCTGAGCCGCTTACCTGCGCGGTCGCATCTCGGGTCGCCGCGGCGGGGAGCGCGCCTGCACGGCAGAAGCCACTCCGGGTGGGACCCGCGGTCAGGGGCGCCCGGAGCCACATTCCTGGAAATGAACGTGGCATGCCACGCGTTTTCTGCCAGCCCCGAACCCAGTATCAGTGTTCTCTCTCACTCGCCTCGGAGCTGCTCCTCCTGCTCCTGTGAGTAAACAGAGACCGCATTGCGGGCTCAGGCTCTGTGCTTTGCACTCTAATTTAGGATGGCTTAATTTAGAATAAACATTTCTTCATGACCTAATACCCCAGTACACACTCCTGTTCGATTTTCTAAAATAGCCAGTCTGTGGTGTTTAAATCTGGAGATAGCACTGTACCCCTAAAGTATTTTCAGTGCCTCTCTTGAGCATGTGTGCCTGATGCAGACATGCCCCGTGTTGGCTACCCAGAGGGAGCAGTCCAGAGCGACTCTTAGGCTTCAGTGGTCTCGTGTCACAAGTGCATAAACTAAGGACCCTATGCTGAAGCAATAAGCAAAACACTTGCTAGGCTTGATCTAAAGATAAACAGTACTTAAGTATACCTTGATAAACTGGGTGGGAAAGGCTCTGGGGGCAAGGTCTCTTTGTTCAGTTTGGGGATACCTGAATCTGTCATACAAGAATGATAGGTGAATGATGCCTCTGCCTCACAAACATTTCTGAATTGGATTTATAAGCTGGTCAAGCTTTTAAAGAAGAGGAAACCATACTGCTCATTCACCCCTGTTACTTTATGCACAGAGCTAGTTATCCTTCCTTAGCAATTTACCTACGTGGGACAGTTTTTTGTTCAGTTGGTTTTTGATACTAGAAACCCATCTTTTGAGGGGGCATATGTTCTGTGTGAAGCCCTGTGTCTGCCATCCCCTATAATAGGGGAATTATTCCAGAAGAAAACAATTCCACTTCTCTGTAGTGGAAAACAGAATTAAAACTTATCACAGCGTGGCTAATGCTATGCTTGTGACTGAGTCAGCTATACAGGAATTTTTATTTCCTGAATGTAAGCTGGATATATTCACATTAAAATTTTCAGGAGGGTGAAGTACCATACTTTAAGCATGCATCTGAAATCTGACAAGCAGAGGCAAGGCAATTGTCTTGCTATTTAATTATTAGTTTTCTACTGGCAATTTACAGGTTCCTCCCAGTTGCTGTGTAGGACCGTGAAATGGCAGCCCAAATATTAACTGAACTTAAACTCCCTGATAAACTGCGGTTCATTGAATATATTCAGAAATAACTATTGTAATCTAAGTAAGTTGTCTGCTGTTCAGCTCATTTGTCTGTTTAAATTTCTGCTTATCATCAGCTGGGGTATACCTGCAGAATTAATATTATTTGCAACCTCCTGTGATTTGAGAAGCATTTTTATCCATCTTTACTAAGTGAGTAGTCTTAAACTTTGTACCACAGAGCCGTCTATTTCTGGTTGGCAGAACGTGTAGAAGAATCTCTCAAAGCTTAAGATTATGCCTCATTTATACAACTGTATTTCCTATACATGGAAAAATCTCCTAAGGTCTGTATTGAGCACGATTAGGTTTGTGACACTGATGGATACTGAACTGCTCTGTGGAGGTTTGGTGTGTAGTAAGTAAGATATAAGTATTTTAAGCATATGGAGTTCCTGAAAGTTACACTAACAGCTCTTAGGGCTGTCTAAAGTTAAATTAGAAGTCCAAAATACTTCACTATTAAAAGAGGTGGCTCTTAGGTGCTTACGTTAAATAGAAAGTCAAAGGAAAAAAGGAAATTACATCACATTGTCAAATAAGGAACAGCTAGCTGGAGTGGATGACTTGTAGTGCAAAAATGTGCCCCTCCTCCTGTGAATTGCTTCTGAGATTTGTTAAAGATATGTGGTGGCAAGGTGAGCAAAAATAGGTGGTGGATTTAAGGTGGCCACGTTTCCTCCCCTCCCAAAAACAGTAATTAGGTCTTAGTTCCCCCCTTTTCTCTTTCCCATTTCTTCCAAGACATCTAAAAGCTGCCCAAAATCAGTGCAGGCATTCAGAATTCTGTACAGCAAATTGCTGTGTTCCATAGCCATTAAGTGAAACATTCTAGAGCATGCTTTGGTCTACTGTGCATACCAGAAAGGTTTTCTTTATTACAAACCTGACTCGACCTCAAATATTTGGTTGCACTGGGGCTGGAAGAGCAGGGAACAGAGTAAGAGTCTCTGTGTGATCAGTGATAGGCATTGAGCTAAAATACATTAAATGCTGCTTAGTTTCTATAACAGGTATTTAGGGACACATATCCATATGAAAATTGTGTATTTGTGATGTTTTATAACTCAACTTTGTCTCAAAAATTTTCCCATATATTCACATATACATTCTTCACTATGTAGCTACCCTACTGTTTATGGATACATTTGACCATTTTCAGCTTAGACATTTCCATCCTGTTATTCATCATTCATCAGTTCAAGTTTGAAGATATATTTAGCCTTATTAAAAAGATCAATCTCATCTCCAGTATTTAGAATATAAACCATATTTGTTAATGTGAGCAGTCATGAATGATTAAAAAGTGTCTCCTTTGCAGTTACCTGACAGTGCATGGTGTTGATAGCTTCTTAATGCACCGACAAACCTTTGAACTGCCCTGGCTTGTAGCTGCCCTGTAGTAATTACTAACTATAGATTGAACTAACTGTTTCTTTTGAGTAACACTGAAGCTGTAACACCTTCAAAAGTGCTCAGAGTGCTTCCATCTTTCCAAGTGCTACACTCTATCCATAGCTGGGCAAACAAGCAGTGGAACTGGAAACCCATTTTGTGCAAACAAGCATGAGATTCAGAATGCTTCATTTACTGCACAGTGTCCATTTTCTTTAGCAAATATAGCTTGATTTGATTTCTGGTGAAGTTTAGATCCTTAAGTCTTTAAGGGAGGCAGGACTGGACCAACGGTTACAGTGAAAACTGTTGGTCTTTATCTTCATGACTGACTTCAGAAAAAATGTTAAGCCAATTACTAGAAAATAGCAGCTTCTGAAGTATGTACAGCTTAGCTTTAGCAAGAGCAGTCTATAAAATCCAGAGTTTGTACTCCTCGATTACATGTCCTCATGGCTCCCTCGTAAGACACTGGTTCTTCAAACAAGCTTATGCATGTTTTAAAACACAAGCACCAACTCTCTAGACTCCAGTGCAAAAGTAACTAGACGATTTAGTGAAAGAGCACATGCCTTACCTCCGTGATACTCCTAGCTGAAGGCATGGAGGGCAGTTTCATAACTGGCCATTCACGAGGCAAGTCACCTTCTGTGGATTCACAAAGAGCGTATTGTTAGAAGGCAGCAAGTTTTATGGCTGCAAATCTGGCACTATTTTTAAAAAACACAGAGTTGACTGAAATAACTGAATATTGCCTTTTCCCAAAGTCAATATTTAAGTCCATTTCAGAAGTCGAGCGTAGCATTCAAGACAGATTTCAGAGGCACGATTGTGCAACTGTCAGTCTTGAGAGCTGAGATTTAGACAGCATTCAGAAAGCTGACACAGTAATTACTAGCAGTGGTTTTGGTGGGGGATCTGATGGAGGACAAGCCCTGCAAGGGTTCTGGGTTATCACAGCAAGCACATTACATGTGCTCTCAAACTGAGTGGCTGTGCTGCCACCCCCCCCCATCTGATTTTTTTAATATCATAATCAATGTCTTGCTCATGGCCATCTTGTATGTGTGCTGAGATGGGGTGCTATTGTTTGCTGACTGATCAGTGTTCTGTACCAGTGATTTTTCAACTTGGGACTTGCATTTGACATGAAAAATACACTGAAATGGAAGCACAAACTCCTTCACAGGCACCAGCCTTAAGTTCATGAATCTTTCTCTTTCATTTCTTTTGAAGATTCATTGCTAATAGGGTATCTGTGAGGCACAAAATAATCTGTGCTCAGTACAGTGTGAGCTGATGTGATGGATGTTTTATTTGTGAGTTAACGTGATACAAAGTCATGTTAGAATTGGTGCTGTGCTTGTATGGTGCTGCTTAAGTTCTGACAAATGCATTTCTCCAGTCTTCTGTCCCCCCTAAACAAGGGTTCTGCTTGCATTTACAGAATGGGAAGGAAGAACTGCTGTTAAAGGACTGCTAGAGATTTTGAAGTCATTTGCTAATCAAGGACTATGGTATTGCTTATTGGGGCTGTGTGCTAGTATTTCATTTTACTATGAAAACCTACAATTCCTCTTTCTGGGAAGGGCCCAACTTGACTGGGTAATGTGAAAATGTCCAAGGCTAAGCTAGCTTTTAAGGAGATTGTCTGAAAAGGAAGAACATAGTCTTTACTAAAATCAGGAAGGGCTGTAATAGCCTGCTGCAGCAGACAGAACACCAGTTTAGCCATTGTTCACTTCTATGAAAGGAAGTTAACAGCCTCCTGTTTAGAGTTCTTAAATGCCTGGGTAAAACACTTTGTATAATCCCACTTCCATTGACCCAAGAGCAATCACAGGATCAAGTTAGGATCAAAAAAACCATCAGACTCAAAGAATGTGGTTAGTTCTTGCACATTATGCCATATTATAGTTAGAAGCTGTTTTGCTTGAATGATCAATCCTGGACACAGTTCACACTTGGGAAAGCAAAGCAGAGTTGTTCTTTCTCAATCAATTGTTTATAAAAGGCAAATAGTGGTGTCAGACTGCAAATTAAATCCTGGGGCACCTGGTTTCCAGCCCTGCTTAGGAGTCTGCCCATCCCTCAGTGTTGCAAATAAGTATTATGGATCCTTCCTCTTAAAGGACAGGAGGATTACACATCCCCACAGGATGCCTGGTCTTGAACAGATTTACCATAAGCCATTTATTTTCTGTACCCCATTTTCTGGCAGTACCATACTGTGAAAGGGGTTTCTTGACACAAGTGTAGCCCCTCAGTTGTTGACTGACTTTTCTTGAGGTAGAATTTCTTCTTTCAGGTGATAGGAAAAAGGAAGCTCATGCTAAAAAGAAAATGGTCATATCCTTGATTCTCAAGAGATAGAAAACTGTTTTGGGTGGGTTGGGGTTTTTGTAGGTTGTGGGCTTTTTAAGCAGCCATACAAGACTATATTGTACTTGCTGAATTTAGGATGTTTGGGTAGATGAAGCACAGACCCAGAGAACTTTGCTTATAGTCTTGGCCTTAACATCTCCTGTCTTCAGCACGTTGACTACTTTTACACTGCCCCCTTCCCCAATCCATTCTGAATGTCCCAAAGCAAGCCCTACGTGTCAACCTGTTCCTTAGACTATGATTATGTGTTCAATATAAAGCAGTTGCCAACACATTTTTCTGTCATAAATAGGCCAGATAAATGTGAATACAGCAGGAGAGTTTAAGATGAGATTCTTTTACATCACTAGTTTTCCAGTTTGTTTGAAATAGCTAAAAGGCTTAAGGATGATCTAAGGATCGTAGTGCTTAGTAATAGTGACTGCTTTATATGAAAGAAGTTTTGGATTCTGATTTAAGTAGTCAGTAATGCTGTTTATTGGAGCAAAGGCCATTTGTTATGCTATTGAAGGTTAAACCAGACTAGACTGTTAGATGTTGGCTACACTGGAAACCATCAACTTGCTAGCAAAAAGACACAACTAAAGATAGATGGCTACTAGAAAGTTAGAGGTTGTTTTGGAGGACGAATTTTGCCTAAGCAGTGTATGTGCAAGAACTGAAGTTGTTGATGTGCAGTGGTCATTAATAGCTTTACTGAACGTGGTTTTGTTTCTTCTATGCAGTTGAATTCTGTAGAGTTACCTATTTTTTATGCTGTAGTAGTCTGGCAAAGTTTTCCTCTTGGCAGGTACCAGGACAGAGGCCTTTCCAGAGAGCTGGAATATCCTCAGAATACTGACATTTCAGCTGAGAGATGAACTCCTCAAGTTTGCATTTCTGATATTTGTGTCCTCTCTTTTGAAGGGAAGGAGAACTTCAGGAAACCCGTCAAGGACTGACTTTCTAGGGTTGTGAGACATCACCAGGGAGCAGTGCACAATGTCAACTGCAGGAGTTGCTGCTCAGGAGATGAGAGTCCCATTAAAAACCGGATTTCTTCACACTAGTCAAGGCATGGGGAGTCTGAAAACCTGCTGGGGTAGCCACAGTGGATTTGAAAAGTGAGTGAGGCTAAAATTGCATCTATTGCATCTTCATACAGATGCGATGAGCATTACGAATACTTATACCAGTGCTGACCGATGGTTTATTTACAGTGAAGACTTCTTTTTCTTTTAGTACTTTCTTTAACGTGGACCCTATAGCAGTGGCGTATAATTTGAATCCATCAACAGAGCCACATTTACCATCCATTGGTAAGTATAAAGACATAACACATTGGTATTTACTTAGTCTATTGGATTTGTCTTGGGGATAAAAAAGGTAAATCCTCAAGTCTTCACCACACTAAAAGCTTTCTCATTCTGGATATAAGGCTGCCCTCTGGTGATAGGATGCAAGAAAATGCTGCTATTCAAGCCCAACAGAAAACCCAAACGGTTTTCAATAACATGATCGAGTTAAAACAAACCAACCCACTCTTTTCCTTGTCCTTAGAGGCCTCTGAGTTGCTGTTACGCTTCAAACAGAAAAGCCATTTAGTAAAATAGTAGTTGTTCTGTCATAGTCCTTTTATGGGATCTCTGTAGCTGTAACTGTTCTATTGCTGATGCTTGGGGTCTCTTAGGCTACATTATTTAACCGGAGGACTGGCCTGAAATAGTAAAGTAATCAGCTACTCTCTTAACTGAATACATAAATCCATGACCAGAAAAGATCCGTAATAGCTGTTTTCTGCTATCAGAGCGTTAAGCAGACATTATTTATTGTTGCATTAGAAGGAATTAAATGTTATCTGTGCAGTGGCAAAGTCATGCACTAGAATATTACTTGGAAGAGTGTTTCTAAAGACTTTCTCACTTTTTTAGGGCACTCTTCCAGCCACGCTTCTGTGAATGACCACAGCTTTGCTGAAACTTGCACCCAGGTCCCATCTCAGAAATCCAGTCCACCTCCTGTAAGTCCCAAAACTGAACAGCCCATTTCAAGATATGAAGAGCATCTCGTTCCTGGCTTTAGTAAACTGTCATTAACCATGGGCTGTGTTTCTGAAGAAACACCTCCTCACATGCCAATAAAAAATGGGCCAATTCAGTTTCTGTCTGCATCTTCCAGTGACCGGAGTTCCAGGCCACTGCCCCCTCTGCCTATTTCTGAAGACCTTACTCCAGATGAGGTTGACAGGGAGGTGGAGTTCCTCACTAGCTCAGACACTGACTTTTTGTTAGGAGATTATGAACTTCCTCCTTTTAAATCCAGTGCTCCAAGCCGGCGGAGCTTTAGGGGCTGTGGACAGATCAACTACGCATACTTTGATACTCCAACAGGACCAAAACCAGAAGATGCCAACCCTACACAAAGCCTAAGTGGATATATATCCAGTATTTATCCTCCTCCACAGCAGCTGCATCGACGTTTGCGAAGGTCCCATTCTGGGCCAGCTGGATCTCTTAACAAACCAGTAGTAAGACTATCTGGACACTTAAACAGGTCTTCTCCAAACTCTGATGAAGATAAACCAGAGATTCCACCAAGGGTTCCTATACCTCCAAGAGCTCTCAAACCGGATTACAGAAGGTGGTCAGCAGAAGTTGCTTCTAGTGCATACAGTGATGAAGACAGGCCACCAAAAGTGCCCCCCAGAGAACCTTTGTCACGCAGCAATTCCCGCACGCCAAGTCCTAAAAGCTTGCCATCATACCTCAATGGGGTTATGCCCCCCACCCAGAGTTTTGCACCTGATCCTAAGTATGTCAGCAGCAAAGCTCTACAAAGACAAAATAGTGAAGGATCTTCCAACAGGGTCCCCTGCATTCTTCCAATCATTGAAAATGGTAAGAAGGCCAGTTCAACGCACTACTACCTGCTGCCTGAGAGGCCTCCCTATTTGGACAAGTATGAGAAATTCTTCAGAGAAGCAGAAGAAAGTAGCTCTAGCACAGAGGTTCAGTCGTGGTCTGATGACTGCACAGCTACTTCAGCCCCAGCAAAACTGGACTCAAAACCTAGAGTGGACATAGCTGGTCATCTGAAACGGAAACATCTGTCCTATGTGGTTTCTCCATAGTCTCTGGAAGCAGGGTCTCGGCTCAGTTGTTCAGGATGGAGCTCAACTTTATCATGTTACAAAGTTCTTCAGGTTCTCAGATAATGAAGTAGGACCAGTTTGTCCCTGAGAACTGGAAAGTGGATGGTGAAGTCCTCTTATGCTGCGTATCTCT